TTTTTTTTCACTTGCATCCCTAAGGCAAAGGTGGTATCAAACACAGTGATGCCCAATTTATTTAGAGATAAGAATGTTCCTCTTTGCAAATAAAGCCGAAACTCGATTTTTGACGTAGAATACGTCTTACCTTAAGGTATGGGGGCTATGTTCAAATGTTGTAGTTGTAATTTTTAGAGCTTCACAAAAACGCTTATTGCACGAGAACTAATAAAGCGATTTCAAAGAAAAGTATGGCGTTTCAAAGATAAAATTCCAAACCTATCGACAGATTCATTTTTGTAAATAACCAATTCGGTTTCTGTCGTAAAAACAACGGTAAACATTGCCTTATTTTGGGGTCAATTTTGAGCCTTTAAAGTGCTCTAGCAACTTATTGTTGGCATATATAACTTTCATTTTCGGGATATAGGTTCTTTGGAGCAGTAGAAATATTATGGAGTACAAATTTTATATAAATTTAACAAATATTGAGCATTTTAAGGCAAAAAATTGTTGAAAAAATTGCAAATTTTTTTCATTACCAAAATGCTCGAAAACCGCTCGAATGATTTTGTTTTTGTTTTCTTTAATCAAAAATTCAAGAGTTTTCCTTTCGTTTGGTATATGGGAAGTATTGGTTGATATCTTATGTTTATTTGTTTCAAATATATGGGCATAAATGATTTCCCGTACAAAAACACTTCGTCATCGTTTTGCAAACACGTGCATGCGTTGGAAGTGAGGAAAGGAGGCAAAAAGTATGAATGTGTACGTGAGTACATATTTCGGCTTTTGATAAACAGATGGAGCAATATTTACATATAACCTAATCGCGTGTGTGTACATATGTAAATACATACATACGTATATATGTTGATTGCAGTTAATGTGGATCTGTTTCTATTTTTAGTAATCTATGTATGTCTATACATACATATGTACATACATATTATATATGTACATACATATATGAACACATGTATGCATAATACGCGAAGACTTTTCGAATATGTATATGAAGAATATGATAAACATAAAAATAAAAACAGAGATAAATATAAAGAAAAAGATGCGGATGAGGATACCGATAAAAGTATAGATGAAGATAGAGGAAGAAAGATTAAAATAAAGGTAGTTGTAGAGAAAAGGATATAGATCAAGGCACAGAGACTCAATCTCGGAACTATTTCGGGATTTTAGGGATTCTCGGGACTTATCGATATAATCGAAATTTTGTTGGTTTTTTTATCGATTTTGTTATCGAAATTTTTATCGATATTGTTATTGATTTTGCTATCGATATTTTTGGAACTTATCGATATAATGATCGATGATTTTATCGATTTTGTTATCTCTTTATTATCGATTTTGTTATCGATTTTATTATCGATTTTGTTATCGATATTTTTATCGATTTTGTTATCGATATTTTTATTGGTTTTGTTATCGATATTTTTATCGATTTTGTTATCGATTTTGCTAACGATTTTGTTATCGATATTTTTATAGATTTTGTTATCGATATTTTCAGAACTTATCGATATAATGATCGATTTTGTTATTTATTTCGCTATCGATATTTTCACTTATCGATATAATGATCGATATTTTTATCGATTTTGTTATCGAAATTTTAATCGATTTTGTCATCGGTTTTGTTATCGATATTTTTATCGATTTTGTTATCGATACTTTCGGAACTTATCGATATAATGATCGATTTTGTTATTTATTTTTCTATCGATATTTTCGGAACTTATCGATATAATGATCGATATTTTTATCGATTTTGTTATCGACACTTTAATCGATTTTGTTATCGATTTTATTATAGATTATTTATCGATTTTGTTATCGATATTTTTATCGATTTTGATATCGATATTTTTTTCAATAAATATCTTTTCTGTTCAAAATTTCAAATCTTTAAATCTCAGTAAGCTGTAGAAAAAAACAATGGTATAAAATAAAAATAAAAATAGGGCTTTCGCTTATATTCTCATTGAGTTCTTTTCACTTAGAAGTATGTAAATTTGTAAAATTTTGGAAAAACCCTTTTTTTCTTAGTGTGTGATTTCGTTTTTGACTTGGATATGCTCTTAACCATACCACGTATTATACGTTTAAATGTAGCGGCTGTATCTCTGATACAGCCTGCAGACCAAGACGAAGGCGCTGGATTGTTCCTTTTTTTCTGGAAAAAATCGGTTTTATTCGAATTTTAGCACCACAAAGTTCGATTTCAAAAATTTGCAAGCTTCGAATGTCGAATTTTCCCATCCCTAATCTTTACGCTGCATCGGGCTCAACCCACTAACGTGAACTACAAATCAGTGGTGCCAGTAGCTCATGCGGACCTCACCAAAACCCTGACGCTTACAATAACAGCAACTACTTAATGCCCTTTGCCCTTTTCTCCTTTTGTTTTGTTGATCCGCAAAAATATTCTCTTTTTGATTTCAGTTTCCATTTGTTAAGTGACCACACCTCATAGCAGCGCTCCTGCAGTTGCAGTAACCAGCAAATATGACGAACGCACTGAGCCGCTTTCTGACGCCAGTCGCATGCACTTGCAAAGACTTCACTCACCCATGGACAGATAGTTGTGCGAATGCATCGGCAGGCGTATTGCTTGCAGCGATACCATATAGCTTACGTATCTACACAATGGTTTATGCGGTAAGTGTTGCCGGTTGCAACAGTTTATGATTAACATTTTAAAACTACTATATATTTGTATCTTGCAGCTCTCACTCATAATGCGACATCGCATACCACGGCTCGGCGATCTCAAGCGCAACCTGCACGGCATCATACAATCGACCGCCTTCCTCGTCTCCAACGGTTACACATTTATTTTGTTCAATTGCCTGCTGCGTAGACTTATTGGCCACTATGTATGCGCCACAGTTGCCTTCGTGCCCAGCTTCATATCCAGCTATGCATCGATACTTATCGAACGACCTGCACGTCGACCATTGCTTGCGTTGTATATGGCCAACTTGGC